TTCAATAACCAACCAAAGTTTTAAATAATAAAATCTCATCTTTCAGGACTTTTTAATATGGGCCATTCTCACAGGCATGAGACGGTATCTCATTGTTGGTAGGAATGCAGCTTATGGAAAACAGTGTGGAGGCTCCTCAGAATATTAAAAATAGATCTACCATAAAATTCAATAACTCCATTCTTGATATCTACCTGAAAAATGCAAAAATCACTAATTAGAAGCAGTCCCGTGTTTGCTGCAGCACAATTTACAACAGACAAGTTATGGGAACAACCAAGTGCCCTGGTGGCGCAGTGGGTTAAAGCACAGCACAAAGAAGCTAAAGCCACTTCAGCATGAGTTCAATCCCCACCCCCCCAACCGGAGGTGACCCATATGGCGCATCAGACCTCTCCTGACCCACCCATTGCTCCCCTCAGCAGTGTACTTCGTTGATCTGCCTGTTCTGCTCCCCACTCTGTCTCTGGTGAATCCTCTCACCACCCCACACCTCTGGCCTATACCCCAGTTCTGTTAAATAAATAAATCTTTTTTAAAAAATTACTAGCCAAAAGGAAACTGTATATTAGTATAGCTGTACTAATTTATAATAAAGTGGTTTTACAGGCAAGGAAACATTATTAGACATAAAAGAGAAAGTTAATAGCCAAGAAGATACATTTGTAAACATCAGTGCACATAGGAATATTATTAAACTTATTAAGCAGATCTTGTTGAAAAATATTTTTTTAGATTTATTTATTTAGTCCTACAGAACTGGGGTACAGGCCAGAGATGCGGAGGGTGAGAGGATTCACCAGAGACAGAGTGGGGAGCAGAACAGGCAGATCGACGAAGTACACTGCTGAGGGGAGCAGTGGGCAGGTCAGGAGAGGTCTGCCACCCCATGTGGATCTCCTCCGGGGCAGGCAGGGATCGAACTCATGCAGAAGTGACTTAAGCTTCTTAGTGCAGCGCTTTAACCCGCTGCGCCACCAGGGAGGGCCAGAAAAATACTTTCAATGTATGATAATGGTGAAGTTTTTTTTAATATACCTCTTTGAGTAATAGAAGAGGCAACTTGACAAGTAGTAAAATAGTTGACCAACATGATTAATAAGGCTAAATTGATATATTTAAATTTTTTAATTTGCTAATAGAAAAATAAATATCTGTTTTAAATTCACATAAATTATTTTTTCACATTAATGGCTAAAGCAAATATGGTGTAAGCATACAATGGAATATTACTCAGCCTTGGATATCCTGCAGTTTGCAACAACATGGATGACCCTAGAAACATTATATTAAGAAGTAAGTCAGTCACAGAAGGACAATCCTACTTACATGATGTATCTTAAATAGCCAAACCCATAAAACAGAGAACAGCAATTTGTAGGACTAGGGAAGAGCAAAAAGGGGAATTATTTCTTAATAGATATAAAATTTCTATTAATGCAAAATTAATAACTTCTAGAGATCTGATATATATAATATCTAATAGTTAGCAATATGATATCATACATTTTAAAGTATACTAAGAGGATAGAGTTCAGTTCTGTTCTCAAGCAAACACACACACACAAGAAAACAAGAGGAAATTTTTGGATGTGATGATATGTTTGTCTATAAAGCAATGTGAATACTTCTTTAAATTAATCAAATGTGGAAAAGTATTAAATAATATTTTTTAAAGATTTATTTATTCATACAGAACTGGGGTACAGGCCAGAGATGCGGAGGGTGAGAGGATTCACCAGAGACAGAGTGGGGCACAGAATAGGCAGATTGACGAAGTACACTGCTGAGGGGAGCAGCGGGTGGGTCAGGAGAGGTCTGCCGCGCCATGTGGATCTCCTCCGGGGCAGGCGGGGATCGAACTCATGCGGAAATGGCTTAAGCTTCTTTGTGCTGTGCTTTAACCCACTGCACCACCAGGGAGGGCCTTAAATAATATTTTTTAAACCATACAAAATGTTGTTTCAGCCAAGTGGAATTAAACTAAAACTCAAAGATGAAAATATGATCAGAAATTCATCTATATAAGGAAATTTAGAAACACAAGTTCTATATAATTACTGGGTCAAATGGTCATTGGAAAGTATATTGCCCTAACAAAGGCAATGTAACATAGCACACTTTCTGATCTGAAGCTAAAGTCATGCTTATAGGAAATAATTATGGTGAATTTAAATTGTTTAAGTATCCACATCGAGAAATTAGAAATATATTGTGATAAGAAATAAATATTTGTTCCTCAAGCCCATTTCTGGCAGAGTTCCTAACCCCATTGGAATTCCCTGAGTGTTGAGAGCAATCAAGGTATCTTTTGTTAATGAGGTGGCTTTTGTGGAGTCCCTAGGTGAGCACAGATGCAGACAGGGGCTGGCTGCCAGTGTAGAAGGCTGGAACTTTCAGTCCCACCCTCCTGACCTCCAGGGAGGGGAAAGGCCCCAAGATTGGATCTATTTCCAAAAGCTAAGGATCTAATCAAGCATACTTCTGCAATAAGGTCTCCATAAAAAGCAAAAAAGAAGGGGATTCAAAGCACTTCCAAGTTGGGGAACAGGTTAAGACTTGGGGGTGTGGTACTCCTACTTGGAAAGGACATGCACGCTCTTTGTCCGTTGTTCATCCCCTGCCCAGTACATCTCTTTCATCTACCCTTTTATATAGGAAATAAAGTGTTTCTCTGGGTTTTGTGATCTCCTCTAGCAAATTAATTGAGTCTAGGGCAAAAATCCCTTTCTAACAAGTTCACAAGTAGTATTACTGCTGCTGCTTCATAATCTATACACTCCAAGGAACAGACTAATGAGGGTCCAGGGCTATAACTGGGGGTGCTTGAAGCACACAGCAACAAGTCCACACCACAAGATGAGCTGGAGCTTAATGCCTCCTACAGAAGCAACCAGCTATACTAATGGAGGGGAGATAAAGCTACATTTCAATCATTACATTTCCATCATTCCTACCCTCCCCAAGTCCTAAAATGCATATTACCCGAAAATTTTCAGGTGGAAGAAATTCCAGTGTCTGCTTCCTCCAACCTCTCCTCAAATCCTATAAAAATATACTCAAGTACTCTCCTCCTTCCCCTACCAATTTAATCAAAATGAGTTTGGAATGTTTAATGGGAGCTTACTTCTACTTTAGCAATAGGACTTCCTGGAGGAAGAAGCATCTCAACCGAGCCTCCATGGTTAGAGTGCTCTCCAGGCAGAAACTAAGAAGTAATTTTTAAAAAGTATTCAGCACCAGGCCCTCCCTGGTGGCACAGTGGGTTGGAGCACTGCACTGTGAAGCTAAGCCAAGCTGTGATTGCTTCTGTGAGTTCAATCCCTGCCCGGGAGGTGACCCACATGGTACAGCAGACTCTCCTGTCTCACTCACTGCTCCCCTTAGCAGTGTACTGTGTTGATCTGCCTGTTCTGCTCCCCATTCTGTTTCTGATGAATCCTCTTGCCATCCCTGCACCTAAGGCTATACCATTTATGCATACCATTTATGCATACATTTCTGTATGCATAAATAAATATTTTTTTAAATTATTCAGTACCTCTACAGATATAATTATCCCAGTCTAAATGTACTTAGTTAGCTTACTTTGACAAATGATATTTCAGCAAGGGCAGAGTAAAAGTTTTAAAATTGGAACACAAAAGGATGCCACAACTCAATTGTATACCATAGTTCATTTATTCTGACACACATGCTTTCTTCCACCTCACATCTGTGAAATCTGGGGTGTGGCTAACTTGACAGGACCTCAAGTGCACCTGTCCGTCTCAGCTGATGTTGTGCATGGGTGAGCACACTCCCCAGTAAGGCCAACAAACAAGTCAGCAGAGCACAGTGCACTCTGTCCTGCAAATAGCTGCAGCCCACTACTTTGTTTCAAGTAGAAGCTACAAGAAGCCCCAGGTCCGGTACAAACATGCACCCCACCCCTGTGTCGGGTACATTTCCTGTTTTCCCCCAAGTACAAAGCATATCAGATCCTATATGTACCCATGGGCGGTCCTGATAAACAGACTCCAGACCCCAGGCTCTTCCTTCATTCTCTCACGGTTCCGAGTGTCCTACTTAGCCGCCAGCGCACCCCTCAGTGGGTTAGCAATACTGGAGGGTCCCCCAATCAGTACTCTCACAATAAAATCTCAGTTTTTCATTATTTTTGTGCAGTATTTAACTTATGATTTCTCTTAGATGATGGGAACTCTGATTTGATCAAATATGGTAACATTTAATGAAATATGATAGTAGTGACTTGTGGAGTTACAACTTGAATTTCTGGGCTTCCGAATGCTTATTCCAAGTGGAAAAGAAGATATGGTGCAGCTCATGGGATATTCTGATGTGCCCTGTTCAGAACAGAAGGAAAAAAATCACTCCACATAAGAGATATTATATTCCCATGTTCACCACAGCATTATTGACAATAGCCCAAAGGTGGAATCAACCCAAAGCCAAGGTCCATTGACAGGTATGGATAAGCAAACGGGTAAGCAAACGTGCTCTACACATACAGTGGAATTACTCAGCCATAAAAAGAAAGAAATTCTCACACATGCTGCATGTGCATGCACCTTGAGAATATCATGTTGAGAGAAATAAGTCATTCCCGAAGGACAGAATCGGATGATCCACTTAGACCACACACATCCCTACAGTCACCAAATTCAGAGGGAGAAAGCAGAATGGCAGCTGTCAGGCCTGGAGGGAGCGGGGGATGGGGAGGTGTTGCCAGTGAGTACCAAGCTTTGGTTTCCTCTAGGTATTGCCCAACAAGTATGCTAAATACTACTAAGCTGTGTGCTTAGAAATGGCTAAAGATGGTTAAGTTTTATATCATGTGCGCTTACCATGAGTTTCAAAATAGCTTTACCCAAGGAAGACAGGAGTTGAAAAGAAAGAAAGAAAGAAGAAAGGAGCTGGTAGAAAGGTTGAGGGAAACGAGCTGCAAGGAGATTAAATAGTGGGAAGAGTGGAAGGTAAAAAGAACAGATGTTAAAAACTCACCAGCGCCTCACAAACCATAATGCTAGACATGTGGAAAGGATCAAGAAGGGCACGAGGATCCCCAAAACTATCAAGCCAATGGAGGCAGAATGTTCTGGCAATCAGGAGAGGACACAGGGCATTACTTTAAACCACACTTGCTGGTTCCCCTGGCCTTCATCTACCACCTGACCTTCCTCCCCACCTGCTTCCGGTGCCTCTCCTCACACCAGGGAGCCATGGCTCTCTTTTGTCTTCCCTTCTTGCCCTACCTCAGTCCACACATAGGTCTCTCATTCTTACCACAGATGAGCTACCCCTTAGAACAAGTATTTTTATTCTTGTTGGGGCTGGAGTTCCAGAAAACGAGTCAGTCTCTCAGTCTCTCCCTGCCTCCCCCTTAAAGCCCACTCCCACAGAAGTCTCTGCCTCTGTGCTTGACATCTCCATCTCCTCCCCTCCGCCCAGAGCCCCGCTCCTTCTCACCCCAGGGGAGGACGATGTCCCGGCCACCCAGGCTGCTGTGCCTCACTCTGCAAGCCAGGCCGGCCGCCTCCGCAGAGTCCACATCCAGCGTCGCGCGGAGATGCCACGTTCCGTCGGCGTTAGGCATGAGGTCACCTCGCCGAGTGTCCCGCTGCTCCTGCTGACCCCGCGTCCACATCACCCACACGGCTTTCGGGTGGAAGCCAAAGACATGACACACCAGGCGCAGGCGGCCCGGCCCGGGACTAGGGCCTTTGGTCAGCCGGGCCTCGGGCTTCTCTGGGGAGGAGAAAGCGGAGCGTCACGTTCTGACTACAACCTAGGGCACAGGGACTCAGCCACACTGAGTGTGGACAGTAATGCCTCCGCTCTCTTGGGAAGCAAACTTGGTGGACCCCCTCTCTTCTTAGGTACCTCTTCCCCTTGAGTTCCAAGAAGTGGTAACAGGTGAAATGGGAGAGTCTTGGGGAGAGAACGGACTCACCTTGCCTCTGAAGTTCCGCTTTGCCTGCATCAAGGACACCCAAGAGAAACTTGGGACAGGTTTGCAAAAGGAGCTTCCTAATGTTGTCGCAGATGCCTTGGTGCTGTATGATGAGAGCACACACCTGCTTGGCGCTGCTGCCGCCCTCAGGGGCGGGCACACAGGTGTCATTCTGGTAGCTCAGGAAATCCTTTCCACCTATGGCTCCCTTCAGGAAGCTTACTATGGACCCCCCAGGACGCAGGCCACAGCCTACTGAGCTCTGGATCTCAAAGGGGTCTGGGTAGAAGGGGAAGAAAAGGTTATTAAAAAGCAAGTAAGAATGAAAGGGCTGAGTAAAGGGCCTGGAATTTGGGGTTTGGGGGCAAGAGGAAGGTCTGAGAGCTGGAATGATGAGGCAAAGACAAGCTATAGGTTTTAGAGATTTCTTAGGAGAGCGTTGGGGATTGGTGTGCGCATGGTATGTAGGAAGAAGGGGTGTTATCAGGCTGTGGGGTGGGAAAGAGGGGAAAGCTTGAGGAGCACTGAAGACTCAGAAGCAGGAGAGTCCAGGTGAATGGGGGCAGAAGGGGGTTGGGGGATGAGCGAGGGTAAGGCCACACCTCTGAGAGGAGCGGTGAGGCCTCAGAGCCTGAAGGTGGGCTGCAGGTAAAGAGAATCCCACACTGGTGCATTCAAGCACAGTTTGGAAGGGCAGGGTTGAGAGCAGGATGTTGTAACAGACATACAGAGATGCTCACAGGTCAGGAGTGCAAGAAGCAGGTAGAACCTGGAGCTTGGGGAGGGGCAGAGCGGAAGCCTGAGGCTGCCCTAGAGAAGTGTGTGCATGCAGTTGGATATAGCACAAAGGAGTGGCGGGAGGCCAGCAGGAACAGTGACCAGAACCGAGAGAGGAAAAGGCCATGAAGCATGTCCCCCCAGATCAGACGTCTGGACTCACATTCAAAGTGGAATTTACTGACGCGACCCTGCACTTCCCGAGAGAGTCCATTGAAGTACGCTCGGAATATCTCCTCAATCTCAGTCAGCTCCTCGTCATTGAAGTTGCCCTTTGACCAGGGCTTCAGAAAGATGGCAGTGCCGTTGTCATCATCCCAGCTATGAATCTGCAGCTCGCCCACCCAGCCTGAGCCCAGATTTTGGACGAAGGTGCTGTTGGCAAAGGTCGAGATCTGGATGATCTGGAAAGAATTCTGCAACGCAGCAGCTGTATGTGGGGAAGGGTAAGACAGTGAGGAGCAAACGACGTCTTGCTTTCTTTAGAATATCAGTGTCAGATGGAAATTCTAAGTCTCAAATTCAAAACAAAAGGAGGGGAGGAAGACACAGGGAAGGCACTTTCAGGGGGAAATGAGGAAGAATGAACATTGGACAGATCCTAAGAAAAAGAACCCCAACCAGAGAGCACCAGAGGCGCCACGCCCAACTTCCAGAAAAGGGGAGATCGTTGGAGGCGGGGGACCAGCCTTTGGTGGTGAGACTGTGGTGTTTCCATTCAGAACCCCCGCCGTGGGGGGCTGCTCTTACCATCCTCGCTGTCACCAGCTGGGAAGCAGGCTGCCAGCAGCAGGAGTAACAAGGACAGCATTTCACTGGGGGCACCACTTCGGGCTCGCGGTGTTTGATCTCTGACTGCAGCAAGCCCCTCTCACAGCAGCAGAAAGGGACTTCCTCTCCTTCCAACTGCCAACTCTCTTCCTCATCCACATGGCACATCAGAGAAACACTGGGCCTCCCACACCTCTGGGGCTCCCGCCCTGCCTCTCATTTCCACTCTGCTCTGACAATTTTTAGTTCCCTAGCTTCAAGCTGCCCCTCTGGCCTCAACTTCCTTCATGTGCTTTTGAAAGTTTATCTCACCTGCCCATTCTTTGATGTCCTCAACTGTTAACTAAGGAAGGAACATTACACAGTGGTCCTGTGTACAGCCTGGGATTCTTTTCTGTGTCCTGCTCACAGCCAGCCCTCTTTCTGGCCCTCCGTCTCCTCCCTTTGCAAAGGTTTCCATGCTCCTAGTAGGGTAAGTGATGGTCAGACTCTTGTGCCTTTGGCCTCTGTGGCTATCACCTGTAGCCTTGAATGCAGGAGGCCCGTAGGAGCGTGGGTTCAGGGCATGCATGCCTGATAGTGGACACCTGGTATATGGTATGGGCATGCATGAAGTGGGCACACCCGAGCCAAGAGACTGAGGGTCTAAGCATCACACAGAGGATGGTGTGCGGCCGGGAACAGCTATGAGAAGAGACTAGGAGCACACCAGAGAGTCCAAAAAGAGTAGAGATTTGCTGGGGACTGGGAGGCCTGCCAGCCTCCTTGGCTCCCCCTGTTTTCACACCTCTGCCTGCCTGCACCTACCTACTACACTACAATTGCCATAGAAAGATCATTAAAGCCTGGAAAAGTCACTGAGGGCCCTGGACTCCCCCTTACCCATCTGCCTGAATCAATAGAGAACCTGCCCTTTGCGTTCCTGGCACTGCACTCCTTTCTTATCTCATCGCCCGTTTTTTTGTTCTTCCTAGCCCCACCCCCACCCCACCCCCATCTTGTTTCTTTGTGTGTGTGAGACACACCTGTTTCTGTGCCAGTGTATTGACAACCATTGGCAGGAGGCAGAACATTTAAAACACTGCCTGGATTATGGCACTACAGATCCAAATTCCTCAATGGACTATGATCAACACTGCTACCTATTATTCCAGCAAAACACCTTAGTGATTTTTGAGGGGAAAATTTGCACTTTCCACTGGTCTATGACCTTCTTTCCTATAGCTGTTGACCACGGGAGCCTTAGTAGCAACTCTCCTTCATCAAGGAGTTATGCTGCCTATGCATTTAGCCTGAGTCAAAGGTAACACTTGTTACATAAATATCTCATTTAATCCTCAAAACGACTCTGTAAGTTAAACACCATCATCCCTGTTCCCTTTTGACAAGGGAAGTAAGATTTGAGCTTAAGTGCTGAGCCCACGAATCATACCAGCTGGTTCTCTGTTCGCAGCCCTTCCTGAAAACTCAGGTGACACCGTCAAACGTTGGTTCAGCCTGTACCACCACGCTGAGCTGCGCATCAGTGACATGCCATGTGCAACCTCACTTCACCTCCACAACCCTCACATGTATTGGCCATTCATTTATGTAAGCACGTCACTTGGAGAGTACAACCTCCACCCCTTATGTGTATGCGCCACATTCCCCCTCCGCCAGACGCCAGTGTCACAACGCTCTCACCTTCCCTCCACATCTTCCACTGGAAAAACACACTGGAACCAGCCTCAGAATTATTCCTGTCATTTTGCCAGTTGGTTTGCTTTGTTTACTTACATTCTTCAAGTGAATGAAACCATCCGGAAACTGTCTTTCACTTTCTGACTTATTTTACTTAGCATAATCACCTCAAGACCCATCCGTTTGTCCCAAAAGGTACTGTTTCATCTTTTTTAGTATTATTTAGTGTACTAAATATACTGTTTAGTAGTATTGCTTTGAGTCAATATCCCACACTTTCTTATCCGGGCATCTGTCAATAAGCATTTAGGTGAGTTCCACGACTTGGCTATTGTGAATAATGCTGCTTGAACATAAGAGGGCATAAATATTTGCAAAATGGTGTTTTTATATTCTAAGGGTGGCACTGCAGGATTTGATAGTATTTCTGTTTTTAAGTTTTTGAGGTAACAATACAGTTTCCCATAGAGGCTGCCCCGGATCACATTTCCACCAACAGAGGACAAGTGTCTGTTTCTCCACACCCTCACCAACATTTGTTGTTTCCAGTCTTTTTGATTTAGGTCATTAACACAAGGGTGAGATGATATTGTGGTTTTGATTTGTATTTCCTTTACAAGACATCTGAATGTCTCCTTTGGAGAAGTGTCTCTGTAGGGTTTGGCTTGTGTTTTGATTGAGGTGCTTGATATTTTGTTGTATGAGTCTTCTATGGAGTATGGAAATTAACCCTTGGTCCGACATGTGATGTGCAAATATATTTTCCCAGTCTGTAGGTTGCTTTTTTTTAGAAAAGTCTTTTAGTCCCACTTGCTTCTTTTTGCTTTTCGTTTCCTTTGCCCTTGGAGATGTGTCCCCAATTTCTGCAGTTGATGTCCTAAAGTATCTCCAGTGTTTTCATCTTTGTATTTTATGGCTTCTGGTCTATACCTCCAAGTCTTTAATCCATTTTAAATTAATTTTTGTGTAATGAGTTACTTTCACTTATTTGCATGTAGCTATCCATGTTTCCCCATGCAATTTATTAAAAATACTTGCCACTCCCCACTGTGTGCTAGTCACTCCTTTGTCAAAGATTAACTGCTATATAAATGTAGATTTATTTCTGTGTTCTCAATTTTTTTTAACGGTTTGTTTATTTATGTATACAAGAACCAGGGCACAGTCCAGAGTTGTGGGGACGAGAGGATTCATCAGAGACAGAGTGGGGAGCAGAACAGGCAGATTGACTGAAATACACTGCTGAGGGAAACAGCAGGCGAGATAGGAGAGGTCTGCTGTGCTATGTGGGTCACTTCCTTGACAGGGGATCTAACTCCTGCTGTAGTGACGATGGATAGCTTTGCTTTGTAATGCTGCACTTTAACCTCTTTCACCACCAGGGATGGCGCTGGGCTCTTGGTTTTGTTTCATTGGTCTGTACCTTGTTTTTGTTCCAATGCTACCAGGCAGTTTTTTTCACTATTGTTGTAGTTTGAAGTCAGGGTATGTAATGCCTCAGTATTTCCTCTTTTCTCTTAGGATTGCTTTGGATATACAGTCTTTCATGGTTCCATACACATTTTATAATTGTTTGTTCCATTTCTTCATGAATGTCATTGGCATTGAATCTGCAAATTACTTTATGTGACATGACTAACAATATTTATTATCCCAATACATGAGCACAAGTTATCTTTCCATTTCTTTGTGTCTTTTTTCTTTTAACAGTTTTTATTGTATTGATCCTTAGTGGCTAGTATGTATATCTATATTTTTATTGTGTATACCCTCATTTTCCTTCCTTTCTTTTAATGTTTTTTTTTATCTCACATTATTCTTATTTATGCATCTGATTCCATATTATTACTTATCAACTTGCTCAAGGTTTTTATGCTCTTTTGTCTTTTCTTTTCAAGTAGAAGAACTCCTTTCAAAATTTACCATAGGGCAGGTCTGGTGGTGGTAGATTTCATTAGCTTTAGTTTCTCTGGAAAAAACCTCCATTTTTCCATCTTACTTCAATGATAATTATGCAAGATAGAGTATTCTTGGCTGCCAATTTTTATCTTTTAGAATTGTAAATGCCTTTCTACTCTCTCCTAGCCTTGAGTATATCTGCTGAGAAATCTGATGAAAGTCTGATCAAGCTACCTCTGTGTGTTACATTCTCTTTTCTCTCTTACAAACTTTTCATATGTTTTATTTATCATTGGTTTTAAATAATAATTTGGCAGTGATATGTCTTGGCAAAGGTTGTTTTGCATTGAGAAATTTGGGTATTCTTTCTGCTTCTTTGAGAGTCATGTTCAACACTTTACAGAGGTTTGAGAAACTCTCAGCTATTATTTCTTTGAATGGGATCTCTGCTCCCATCTCTTCTCATTTTCTAGAAGACCTGTTATCCTTTTGTTTCCTGTTGTAGTAGATTATGATATATCTTGAAAAGATTCTTCATTTTTCCTAAGTCTTACCTTTTTTTCACTTGGTTCACTTGTACATTTCTATCTTTAATTTCTGAAATTCTCTCTTCTGCCAGTTAAAGTTCATTTAGTATGTTTTCCTTGTTTGTCTTCATTTAATCAGCTTCTTTTATTGTTTTCTAAATGTCTTCAATCTCTCTAGTGAAGAACTCTTTTTGGTGTTAGATATGTTTCCTAAGATCCTGCGCTTGCTTCTCTTTGTTTGACTGAACTGCTAAGAACTTTTTGGTCTTTTAAAATTTGTTTTTCTAAAGAACCAATCTGAAAACAAGCAGTAGAGCTAAGGAGACTCTTCTCCAACGAAGGCATACAGATGTCAAATAGACACATGAAAAAAAATATTCAACATCAGGGAAATGCAAACCTTAAAGTCACAATGGTATATCACCTCACTCTAGTAAGAATGATATTTTTAAATGTTGCAAATATGTGGAGGAAAAGGAAAATTCATACAATATTGGTGGGAATGAAGACTGGTCTAGTCTCTATGGAAAAGAGTATGGAGGTTCCTCAAAATATTAAAAATAGATCTACCATATGATCCAAGAAATTCCACTCATAAGTATCTGCCTGAAGAATATAAAATCACTAATTTACAACAGTATTTACAATAACCAGAATTATAGAAACCACCTACATGCCCACTGAGAGAACAAGGGGTTAATAAATTGTAATATATATACACAATGGAATACTACCCAGCTATAGAAAAAGGTGAACTCTTGCCATTTGTGTCAATATGGATGGAAGTGGAGGGAACTATGGTAAATGAAATAAGTCAGAAGGAGAGAGACAAACACCAGATCATTTCATTCATATGTGGAATACAGAGGCAGGAAGAAACAAGGAAAAATCCAAACCAAAATAAGCTCTAGAAACATGAGTGTATAATTAAGACTGTTAGGAAAAAAGGGAGGGTGTGGTGAGAATAAAACAGGAAGGAGGCCCATGGCTTAATGGTGTTTGATGATGTGGTGGTAACTTACATCTGCAGAGGTATGAACCTGTTCCCCCAAAACATGGACAGTGTGGTAAACCTATATTACCTCAATAAAGAAAATAAAGAAAACATGTGTTAGGTACTCAAATTCCACATCCTTTATAAAGGTCTCTATTCTTCTCTTTCAGCCTTTTCACCATAGGTTCCGATGCCCCTCTGTCTCTGAGCATGCCTATTGCCTTTTTGTTAATTCCAGTAGGCATGCTGTAGTTTGGATTTTGTTGAGATTATCTTTGTTCAACTTGGTTGCAGGTGAGGTGTGGGAGCAGCTGCTGGTGAGGAGTGAGGGCAACAAGTTGGTATCAGTCTTAGTGGAGAAGGAGGGTTATTCCAGGTAGAAAGATTTTTGCTGCCTCTTCTTCCCTTCCTTTGCAAATCAATTATTAGTCACTGATTCACAGAACTCAGGAACTGTCCCTGCCCCCATGCTATTCCTCTGTGCAGTAGGGGGCACAGAGTAGGCCATGGGACTCTCTCAGAGCTCCTGGCAGGGCAGGGGTCATGGCCGCCTGCACTGCAACAGCCAGCTTGCCCACAATTGAACCAAGAGTCCCAGTGCTGATCTACAAGCAAACCTGCACACCCTTACTGAAAAAAGTCCACATGTACATTCATATGGCCACTCATTCTGTGCCCAGACCCCAGTTTTCTCAAGTAACAAACTGACGAGTGTGGCTGCCTCCCTGCCTGCAACTTCCTTACCTTGTCTCTCCCTCATACACCCTAACAGTGAGTCACCAACTTCAGAACAAAATATCCATGTTTCAGTTCCCCATCATCTCAGTGATGAGATAGATGGAGGCATTTCCTGAGAGCAAAGTTTAGTTTTTCTAGAGTGGTGTTTTGGAGAAAGGTTTATCAGAACCTCCCCTATTCTGCCATGTCAGGGTGACCTCCCAGGTACCTTTAACAAAGAGTTAACTCTAAGCAGTAGAAATCCCTTGTCCTTCTACAGTAGTTCAGAATCTTTGTCTTTATTTGGGGCTTTCCTTTTACTAGATAAAGCATTACTAGATGAGTAAGGAGTTAGTCATTTTATTTTTCACCACAAGTTCAGAGATCAATGTCCTATGATGTCACCTACTCATCTCTTTGTGTCCTTAACAAACTTTAAAATACACTTAACATCCACCGAGTGAAGTACTTGGACTCTAATCAATATGTTAGCTGTAAAGAGAATTCTTGAAAATGTTTTTCAGGAAAAAATGACAAGTAAGTATAAATCTACTTACTAGCTAACAGAGATACAGTACCAAAACATTCCAAGTGTATTGAGTTTTCACTAATAAATCCTACAGACGTAGATAAGAAAATAAAAAATGAGTAATATAACATTCTCTACTCCTAGAAATAAACAGTTCACAGTATTACTAAGTGTAACCTTCATCCAAGATTAGCACCGCCTTATTAGAAAGTCCAGAAAAATGCTCCCAATTCCAACATAGGTCTGAACAATATGCCCAGAATCAAACAGATGATATAACCTCGCCCACTTTGGGGGTAACAGTCATAGTCAACAGAAGACTTCACATTACTTGCAAACCCTTTGACATAAGCATCATTTCTTTTTCTAAGCTACAGTTTTGGGGAGAGCACACAAGATTCACTGTATTGCATGTTCTGTTGGTTCACTGCCATGAACAATTTTTAAGAATTTTTGAGTGAGAAAGCTACTCTATACACTGCTTGCAGTTGTCCAGCTTAAAGGGTGGTCTAGTGACAGCCATGGTCCCTAGATGTGAACAAATTCTAGAATCAAATTCTATTTTATTGTTTTCTTGCATCTCTTCTTGGTAAGGAGGAAATTTTTATCAATTTATTTCATGTTTACTTTTTAGGCAGTTTTTTTCTTTCCAAGGATTTCCCATCTTTTCTTCCATTCTCTTCTAGTGGAACACCTCATAGACTTTAGCCTCTCATATTAAAGAGTAGATTTTTTGTTAATTATTTATTTATGTGAAACATAACAAATTAACCATTATGAAGGATATGATTCTATGGCATTTAGCACATTACAATGTTGGCAAGCAATAGTTCTAACAACTTGCAAAACATTTTTATTGTTCCCAAAAAAATACCACACATATTTAGAGTCATCCCTTCCCCTTCCGCTTCCCCTCCCCTTCACCCACCCTGCACTTCATTCCTACTTCTCAGGCTCCTATAAACCAATAGTCTTATTTTTGGATCTGTGGGCTTACTTATTCTGTAGATTTCAAATAAATGGAATCATACACTATGTGTGTCCTTTGAATCTGATTTCTTTTTACTTAGCATGATGTTTTAGAGGTTCAGACACATTGTATTACATATCACTTTCATTCCTTTTGATGACTGTATGTATATACCACATTTTGTTTGTACATTTATTAACTGATGAGCATGTAGGTGTTTCTTCCTATTTACTACTTACTCACTAAGGAGAGACTAAAGAGGGCTATGGTTTTCTTCTTGCCTTTGGGCAAACTTCTATTTTGCAGAAAAAGAAGAAGTCAGAGCAGACTTGTAAAGGTCTTGAATAGCCAATATGTGATTCAGTCCATAAGATTCCCTCAAAGGTGGAAACTTTTCTGACTTAAGACACAACTTATGACTAATCATTAACTATCGTTAAACTATAATGACTCAGGAGTGACTTCTAGGCACCCAGGAAATAGAAAGTAAGAAGTATAAAGAGTAAGGGAGAAGAGACAGTAGGGGGTGGGGGAAGAAAGAAAGTAATAGAGATAGGATAGAAGGAGAGGGAAAAAGAAAGAAACAGAGAGGAAGAAGAGAGGACAAAGGAGGGAAGGAGAGGGGAAAGGAAGAAGAAAAGAAGGAAAGAGAAGAGTTCTGCCTTTTTTTAAAGATTTATTTATGCATACAAGACATAGTGGGGAGCAGACAGGCAGATTCACTATACACAGCTGAGGAGAGCAGAGGGTGGGATAGGAGAGATCTGCTGTGCCATAAGGGTCCCCTCCTTGGCCAGGGATGGAACTTCTGCTGAAGTGGCTGTGTATAGTTTCATAGTGTTGGGTTTTGACCCATAGCACCCCCAGGGAGGGCCAGAGTTCTGCATTTTTTTTTTAACAAATGGAGCCCTCAATGTCTACAATGTGGGGGCAGCCGATAGCAAGGCAGGAAGCAAACAAAGAACAAACAAAAGAATTAAGGCAAAACAAATGCAAACATAATGCTCTCTTGTAGAGAGTAAAGCCATCTGCTTGCCTGAAACAACTATATAAGATATGATGCCTGCAGAAAAGCCAGGCTTTTCACCCCCACTGATGACCAAGGAGCCAAATGAAAAAGATTTAACAATGAGTACCCAGCCTTTGTATCTATGCAGTAACATTCACCAGAGACAGAGTGAGGAACAGAACAGACAGATTGGTTGAAATGTATTGCTGAGGGAAGCAGAGAGTAAATCCTGCTTTGTTTTCCTCTAGCATTGGCATACCTTTAGGTCAGGACAACCTAGAACTAGAAACCCCTCCTGTCAAGAGTAATTACATTCCTGATATCAATTATCCACTGTTCCTACCTACATAAACTAAATCCCAATTTGTATACTGGAATAGCTCTCACAAAGTTAGGTCTATCAGAGTGCTTGATGGGTTCAAATCCTCACTTTGATTATGTCATAAACTCTTTGTCTAACTGTCATTGAGACTTTATTTCCAGTTCACAGAAAAAAAAAACAATAATAATGACTTTACTCAAAAAAACTTAAACTAGAATTAAAGCAATGTCCATTAAAGAGTGAATGGATAAAAATATCTTCATACATCTCATTCTATTGAGCACTAAAAAGAGGTGGACTATTGGTACACTAACAAGCAATATGACTGACTTATAACCATATTCTAGGTTAAAAATTGCCAGATACAAAGAGTACATACAGTTTACTACATTTATTTTTAAGATTTATTTATTTACACATACAACAACTGGGGTATAGGTCAGAGATGCAATAATGAGAGGATGCACCATGTGGGTCACCTCTCTGGCTGGGAAATCAAACTCCTGCTGCAGTGGCTGTGGAGAGCTTCACCGTGCTGCAGTTTTACCCCTTGCACCTCCAGGGAGGGCCCCAGTCTGTTCCATTTTAGTAAAATCAGAAAGAAAACAAACCTAGTTTAATTAGCACAAGGCGTGTCAGTAGGCGTAATGATGTTCAATTGGCAGTCTATTGGGATAATAAAAATGTTTCCATCTAGTCGTGGTTGTGCTTACATTTGTAATGGACAGGGGTGTACACAATTGTTAAAACAAATGGAACAGTACACAAAATACAAGATTTGATTTGATTTTACATATCAATAAAGTGATTGAAAAATTATTTTGAGAAACTAAATAATCTAGCCAGTAGAAAGGACACGGACCAGCTGAAGAGATATACAGCAATTTCAGGCAGGTGGTTACAATCTTGATTGTTTCCCCCCTGCCGGTTTACAAGTTGTATGTGCCTGTCTCGTAATGCCTGTCTCGTAATTATTGCAATAACTATTGCAATAATTATGAGACAGATGTCAGATATCAGAACTATTGCAATAATTATGAAACATTAGTTGACTTGTTGAATGAACACAAAGGAATCAAGGTGTAGGTAAGGGTATCATGGACATCACCACCCTTTGGGGAACTTGTCTGCTATTTATATCCCCTGCCTTGATCTCCCCAACCCTGAGGACCAGTCTCTTGCTCCTCTCTCTTAGCCACTCAGTGACGTATCTGCCTCACTACCTTTCCCATGTGGCCTGCACACTGTCTCTTTGTGTTTGAAATAAATTGGACAGATTTGACTCACTGAGTTCAGGAAATGAGTGTTTCAAGGAGCAACACTGCATTTTTCTTTAAGAATTTAGAGAGGAAATGAGGTAGCTCAAGGAATGTGGAATTGCTTGCCCAAGTAAAAGCCATTTAAACAAGAAAGAGACTCATCACTATTTCAAATGCTGCAAGACGTCAGGAACGGATATGAGAAAGACTGTCAACGTGAGAGTTATTCCAACATGGAGATGCTTTGTTGCCTTTGATCTGATTTTCCCTGAGCACATATGACATGCAGGAAAGGCACCTTTGTCATGATCATTGTCCTTAAGAAACTTAAATATTGGAATGGGAAGAAAGATCTAAGTAACTGCATGAGGTGAGAGGCCACATGTACATGTAGTAGAGTGTGGTTAAAGAAATTAAGTTGATAAGGGAGAGATTGCTTCCCACTCACAAGTCAGGAAAGAAGCAGGTGATGTCAGAAATGGGCTTTGAAGGTGGAGTACTATTGAATGAATGGAGATTACAAGGAAGGTGTTCTGTAGTCACAGAAACAAGTTTGTATTAACAGATGATTATACATGGAGAGTATAAAGGATGGCATCACTGTGGTCCTGGGCTCCTGGACTCCTGGGCTATTGGGTTCTCACGACAAAGAAGAGGCATGGTGGGAATCTCAGGATATAATTTGATATGAGCTGAAAAGGAGAAAGATTGAGATAATGCTGGATAAGTTGGAGGGTAAAGGAAGAAGTCAGGAGATAAAAGCAAAGAGAGGTAAAAATAGAATATGAAATAAGAAACTGAGAAGAGAAGAAGAAATACAAAGAACTCACCGGCGCTTCTTAAACCATAATGCAAGGACTACTAGAAGTATTAAAAGTATGATCACTAGCAACGGGGTCAAGTTCATGGAAGGGTGATGTCCTATAAAAAAAATGGAGAAACACACAGATGTCATTTTAAACCCACAGTATACATCCATCCAATTATTTCCCTACATCAATATATGCACTGGGTGTGAATCCTATCATCTACTGACTCTATTCCCACCCCTGCTCAGTGAAGGGTTCCACATCAACCCCAAATCCCTTACATCTGAGTGGCCCTCATGTTCCATTCCCACATTCCAGAAATCACCTGTACTCATTCCTTCCTGATATCCCTCTCACCTATTTCTGGCATCATGAAACTTCACTCTTCTCTGTCCTATGTTAAAGAATTTCCTGTTCATGCTTACAGATCCAGTCTTATTTACCCCAATAGAGGATGATCTTCTGGCCTCCCAGACTGCTGTGCCTCACATGGCAAGACAGGCCTACTGCCTCCTTAGCCTCCACATTCAGGGTCACCCGAAGATACCACGTCCCATCAGCATGGGGCAGGTCACCGTCTCGCTGAGTGTCTGGCAACTCCTCATCTCCCCGCATCCACTTCACCCAAATAGGCTTTGGGTAGAAGCCAGAGACATGACAGATCAGCAGCTGTTGGACAGATCCAGGGGTGTGGCCACTGGACAGCCAGGCCACTGGCCTCACTGCAGAGGGTAGGAGACATATTTAGATGAGGATTCTACACACAGCTAAGGAACAAAAACCCACATTAATTTACACACATTACCCTCCTCTAGGAATCTTTGATCCATCCCCACCCTTGAACTCTTGTTTATCCTAACTTGGAAGGAGGTGGTGGGAAGGGGCAAGACTTGAATAGATCAATCTTAGAATCCTAGTGGAAGGAGTTGAACTGACCTTGTCTCTGGAGATACAGCTTTCCGGCATCAAGGAGACCCAAAACAAATCGGGGGCAGATGTCCCTAAAGAGTTTGTCCACTGTTTCTTTGATGCCCTCATGGTGATTGATTATACCGCATATTTTCTGGGCCCTACTCCCACCTTCTGGAGCTGGGACCCATGACATGTTTTGCAAACTTAGTAAATCTGACCCTTGATAAGCTGCCCGAAAGAAGCTTTTTCTGGTGTCCCTAGAATCCAACTCACAGCCAGCTGTCACCTGTAATATAAAAGGATCTGGGGAGAGAAAGAAGAAAGGTTAATGAAAAAGATTCCAGGAACAACATAAGAACTTAGGGCCTTATAAAAACAGCAGAGCAAGAAAGAGGCTTCATATGGATATGCCAGTGATTCAGGTATATTTGGGAAGAACAAGGTGAAAAAGAATCAGTGGGCTGTGGGAGAGAGCATAAAATACAAATACTAAGAATTAGGAGGTGAATTGAGAAGTCAGGGGAAATGATAGGTGACTCATATGAGATGAGTTGGGGGGAGTCTGTGTGAAGGAAGTGAGAGTACACCTCTCTGGAGCACATGAAGTGGGTCACAACGGTTGTCAGACTATGAACACAGACCTCTAAAAAAACTGAGTGGTGGAAGAAATCCTATTTTAAAAAGTCAAGTCCAAAGTGGGAGAATTTTGTGGCCCCTAGGAAGGGAAGCACCGGGGAAGTTATGGTGATGGTGCACGGGTGAACTGGTGGTGGAAATTCTATGGGGACTACACCTGCAGAAAAAGAAGCAAACACTGTAAAAAAAAAATGGAAAAAGAACAATGATGTAAAATTAAATAAATCAATATATTAACCCCCGCCCCCCCAAAAAAAAGCATGAGAAAAAATAAGGGAGTCCAAAATCAAGAGTCTAGGAAATGCTGAAGAGTTACCACCTGGCATAAACCCCAAAAGTTTATGCATGGAAATTGTGATGATGGGGTGGGAATGGTCCAGAAGGACATGAGAACATTTGCCAGAACAGAAGAGCTTTGGAATGATTTGCCTCAGTGAGATGAACTTACATGTGAACTGAAATTGGCTTGTGTACGCTTTAATGTCCTGAGTTAGTCCAGACAAGTAGAAACGGAATAGCAGTTCCAAGTTCATCATCTCCTGATCACTGAAGTGGCCCTTGGACCAAGTGTACAGGTAAAGGATCGTTCCTGCTTTACTCTCCCAGCCATGAGTCTGCAGCTCATTCAGCCAACCTGAGCCCAGATTCTGTGCCCAGGAATTGTTGGCAAAGGATGAGATCTGGATCACATGGAAGACGTTTTCCTGGACTGCTACAGGTAGAAGGTCAGGTAGCTTAGTGATAAAAGAGGCAAGCAGATGGCCTCTGCAGAAGCCTAGCAGTTAAGTCTCAGCACTATCACCAGGATGGCCTGAGTTCGATTCCCAGCTAGAGAGGTGACCCACATGGTGCAACAGACCTCTTCTGTCCCGCCCGCTGCTCCCCTCAGCAGTGGATTTCAGTAGATCCACCTGTTCTGCTCCCCACCCTGTCTCTGGTGCATCCTCTCACCCCCCACACCTCTGGCCTGTACCCCAGTCCTTCTAAATAAATAAACACATAATTACAGTACTTTTAAAAAAAAAAAGAGGCAAGAAAAGATAGGAGACAAGATAGGTGGTGACAAAGACACCAGGGAGAGAAATGCTAGACTAACTTAACAGTGACATTTTCCTGACGCCTGGGCCCTCTCCCCACCTCAGATGCATGAACTGGTCCTGGAGACAGGGATCTCAGGTTGCAAGCACTCCTGTGTCCTCACAATCCAGACCCATCCGTGACCCAGATCCACCTACCTGTGCAGTTGTCCTTACCTTCTACGTAGACACCTCCTGAAACAACAGCTAGAAACACAAGTTGCAGAGAGAGCATGTCATTTGCAGATGCTTCTTTCTCTCTGTTCTCAGCAAAACCTACCCTCAGTATCTCTAGACAGACTTCCTTCTTCTGTCAACAGACCATCCTGCCCTGCCCCTGTCCCTGACTGCCACAGAGCCAACCTGCCACTAACTATGCTCACCTTGGCCCCTCCTCTTCAGTCTCTCATTTTCCCTCCAGACTGATCTATAGTTATTATCTCTGTCCTAGATTCTGGATGCACTCCTTATCACACACCGTGGTGGAAAACTTTGTAAGTGCTTCAGAAGTTTCCATCACCTCTCTTGGACTTACATTGCACATCACAAATGAAGAACAGAAACCACGTGGTTTCCCTGAGGGCTGCTTGTTTTAACAGATTTCTCCACTTAACTCTGCCTCCACACCCCAGTCCAGACTTAGTTAACAGTATCTTAGTTGTCATGTAAAAATAAGAGCTGTATTCACTCCATTATTCTGCAGTTTTAAACTACAGAAAACAGTACATTTAAGCCAAGAATTTGAAGGTACTGTGACACTAGTTAATTCAGCATCTAGAATCTCAGATATAAGTCTGTTTAGAATAATGTTCTCCAGAGAGAAGTGTTGATTCCCAAGCCATTGGGGTGTCTTAATTTAAAGTCCTAGACACACACACACACACATATTTTTTAAAATACATGTTGAATTAAAATTTTGTGATCTGATAAAAATACACTCCCGGTTCCTTTCCCTTCTTCGTCTTGACTTCGGGTCTCAAGAACTTGAGCACTGTGAGGAAAAGCAGTGGCTGTGGTCTAACACACCTTTTGGTTATGGCAGCCTGAGTGGACTAATTGTCTCTCTCTGTCCAAGCACTAATGGGAAACTCCAAAGTCCCCACACCTGAGGGATGTTGCTGTGAGAGCTAACTCAGGGAGGAGACCAGAAGTGACTTCTGAGAACAACTTAGCTCCAGAAGCAAAGGGTGGGAAGGAGACATTCAGGCATATTGTAAACCATTTCTTTCCCGCTCTCACCAATGAGATAATTCATCCTGTTTTCATGGGAAAGAGTAAGAAGTGAGAAAGAAACAAAAAACATTTAGAGAAAATCCTCCTTGTTGTGGGAAACACCCCCATCCCATAACAAGGCAACACCTTCCCAATAGTCCAAATAGTTCATGTATGCTGAAATATTTTAAGCATAAGCTTGACGTGACCCATTTCATATATCAACTCGGAGTGCTGAATAATATAGAGAGGAAAGAGTTTGGATTGCAACGTTCAGCTGAGGGATTGTGGCAGGAACCCTTCCGTCCCTCAGTACCTGCCTCACCTGGTCACTTCTCTCCTTCATTTATAAAATCTGCCCCTTTCCTAACTTCAGACGTTTAATTCTGCTTTTGTCATATCCAATGTAGACTTCTGCCCCAGCCCCAAGCTGAACATTACAATCCAAACCCTTCCCTCCCCATATTATTCAGCACTCTGAGTTGATGCATAAAATGGATCATGTCAAGCTCATGCTTAAAATAACTCAGTAACTTTTGTTACTGAAAAATATTCCGTAGTAAGCTAAGTTTATTCACAAAATCTCACCTGTCTCAGACCCTGACCCAAAAAAGTGGAGGAGTTGATGGTGAAGTCTGTGAGAAGGAAAACTGATAGGCTATTTGTCTAGTGGATCCTAATGAACATTATTACCCAAGAGTCTGAAAAGTATATGAAATGCAACAGGGGGCAAAAGAGGTGGTTATAGTGGCCCTCTAGACATCATGATCCCATGGTGTTATGAATGGGGTATCCTATAATTAGTGAGTAGGGGGCACCTAGGACTGCCTGCTCCGAATCCCCCTCTTCCCACTGGAGCTCATGTTACCTTTGAGCTCTTACTTGGCTGTCCCCCAAGTGTAATTTACTTGGTGGCTTCTCCCCCCCCCCCCCCCCCGACAGCTTGGGCTCACATTCTATCATCCCCCTCTCTGCCAGCAGAAATTTTGTCCTGTGGTGTGCCCACTTCCCCATTTGAGAAAACCCACTGACTCCCACAACTTTCTGCCTTTTACCAGACCTTTCACTTCCCACTAGTACCACATCAAGTTCCAGCAGGTCTCGGTCTCTATAATAGTCTATGTCCTCCTGCCTCTCATGTCCATGTCAGTGGCAAGGGCCCAGCCTAGTGGCTAGTGGACTCCTGGATAGACCCCTTACTGCAAGCACCATCATCACTCCAGGTTTCAGATTCCCCCACTGTAAAAAAAACAACAGTGAATTATTTTGGTGTTGAAAAATAACATGATGTTCCCTAAATCTTCCGCATTTTTTGACTTGTCTGTGTTCCCATTCATTTTTATTTGCGTATTTTCCTTCCTCTGCTTCCTGGTTTTCAGTTCTTACTTTTCTAAGATTCCTCTTTGTTTGACCTTTCATAATATTCTCTAGGTTTCATACTTGGTCTTGTCTGTATTTTCCAATTATGTGCCTCTTCACAATTCATTCTGAGTATATTCTTCTAACCTATCTTCCAGTTCATTAGTTCTCTCTTCAGTGGGGTCTGATTTGCCTCTATTCTGTCCATGGTTTTTTTTTTTTAACTGCTATCATTTTATTTTTGTGTTATAAAATTTCCATTTGTTCTTTCTTATAACTTCCATATCTCTGCCCAAATTCTCAATCTTGCTTTTATTTCTTTGAGGATGTTAATTCTCTGTTGTCCTTTTTTTGTTGTTCATTTCACCTGGTTTTGTATTTGTATGTTTCTGGTTGTCTTGTTTTTCTCCTTGTTCTTGAGTGTCAATCATCTGCATTAAAAACAAAGAAATAATTCAGGACTTAGAATACTGTTATATTCTTCTAGAATCATTTCGGAGCATCGGCAATACAAAGTTACCTTACTAATTTCAGAGATAAAGATCATCTAAAAGTAAATAACAGCCTCTTTAAAGATCTGTGACTACATGTTTCACACTTACTACTTGGACACAGCTCTTAAAGATCTATGATATTTTTAGGACTTATGAGTTTATGGAAAGTGTTGCTTAGCATCTCAGTCCCTTTAGCTGTTCTCATAGCCTCAGCAGATGCCCCCAGGGAAAGGCACCCCAAAATTCAGTGTTCCTCTCCATGAGTTTCTACCTTCTCCCAATATTGACCCAGTAACTTATCTCTCCTTTGTTGGCTCTTCAGTGCCCTGAGGCAAATTTTATTTGTCTCATTTTTTTATAGTTGTCTTTGACAAGAGAATTGGCGTGAATTAGGTAATGACCATCACTAGAAAAAGAAGGCTTCCTTTTTCATTTTTTATTAATAAAACTTACTGTTCTTCATGTGTGAAGTTAGAATTTGTGCCTTAGAAATCTAGATTGTAACAGGACTAGTGTAAGCAAAATGAAACTACATAATGGGGGTGTCTGGTCTCCTGAGTAGGTGTGTAGTCAGATGAGTTCAAGGTCAACTCCTTTACAGGTTACATCCTTGACAGGCTTTGTGACCATGAAACCAGCTAAAAATAGCATAGGAGAAGAACCAAATGGGGGAAATTTCCAAGCGGCTGCACACATAGTCTGACTGAAAGTCAGTCAAAAAAACAGCGCTAAATGTTTTTCAGCCTAATGTATTTAATAATCCATAGCTAAGAGTGCACTGATTTTTTTTTTTTTTTTAAGAGAATCGTTGCCTCAGCCTTTCCTGCGGAGGCAGCCCTGGAGAAGGTGGGTGCTTACAGAATCTCGTGCACATTTCCTAAGACTTGCTTTGGCTTTGTGAGTGTGTTTTCAAAACTGACTTTCTTTGTGAGGCCTGTGAATTTCTTTAGGACCCAGAAATTTAAACTTTACTCCACAAAACCACCTTCTTGCTCTAGCAAGTCTGTGTCCAGCCACCAATGTGTCTCATTCAGGAGAAATTTGTTCATAGCTTTGGGGAGTACCAACCTCTCTGTGTACGGATGTGGCCCTTGGGCCCTGCCATCAGTGACAGAAATCTGTCTTGCCCAAGAGGACTCCCCTCCTTTGCTGGCAGGCTTGGGGTGATAGTATAATTTTGAGGAGATGTGAATCAGTACTCCTAAAATATAGATGACATTGCAAACCGATATTACCTCAAGGCAAAAAAAAAAAAAACAATAACTACAGTAAAATTCTATTAACCAACAAAAAATGAGTATCTATATTCTAAAAAGACATATAAATATGTTAAAGCAATATTATTCAAAATAGCTAACCTATGGGACCATCTCAAATGTTTCCCCACAGTAGAATAAATTGTGACCTATTCACACAACTGAACACTAGAAGCAATGAAAAAAATTAACTACTCCTAGATACCACAACGTGAATAAACCTCTCAGAAATAATGTTGAGTGAACAATGTCAGGCCCAAAATAGTACTTAACATTTTTTTATAATTACATGCAGTTCAAAGACAGACTCTATATTATCTAAGGTGCTAGAGATCAGAATGTTAGATATTTTTAAAAGGCTAGCCTAGGCCTGAGGGACAGAAGAGGAATAATTACCATACTCCCCATCCCGAGTAGTCTCTTTACACTATGGGTGTAAAGTTCCCCAGGCTTGCAGTTATGAGCATGCACAAGAGATAAGCAGTTTTTCACAGGTGTCCCATCACACATGAGAAAAAAGGCCGTAGTGAAAAATAAAAAGATAGGCAAAGCAGATGGAGTTAAATTCTGTCACCAGCTGTCTCAGCAACGGCTGGTGGAGAAAAGTGGGCTGAGACGATGTGAGGCAGAACACAAGAGGCGTCTGATACTATCAGGTTTTCAGAAGCAAAAAAGTCATTTTTTTTTCCCTTAAGTCCCAGGAAAAGCTTCAATTTACCCGTTTGTGCTGTAACTTTTTAACACCCAGTGCCACCTACTGGTGAAATGTAGTCAGTGTAGGGCAAATGGATTGATCAGGTTTTTTTCCGCCAAAAGCCTCTGTGGCGCTCACCTGTGGCCTCAATGGTGTTGATGCAGAAGGCGCTGGGGAGCGTGGGTGCGGGGCACCCGTGCCTGATCGTAGACACCTGGGGCACGAGTGTGGACATGTGTAAGTGTGCTCACCTGAGGCCAGGGATCTAAGAGCAGCATCCCTCAGAGACAAAGGACAGCTGCAGGAAGCAAGACATGAGAGAACACCAGAGAGAACCTGGAGAATGTGTAGTTTTGTGGGAAGCAGTCAGGCAACTGAGCTCTATTTTTTGCCTCCCAGCACCTCCTTGCCCCACCCATGCCTGCCTCCTCACATGCCAGCCACCCTGCCTGGTATGTCTGTGTACCTGGCTCCCCAAGAGAACAAGAGAGCCTGTAGAATCCGCTGAGGGCTCCTGGACGCTCATCTGTCTGCCCAAATTCCATGGTGAACCTGCCCTGTGCGTGCTGGCAGTGGAGTCGGTGTTAGGGTTAGGGATTAGGGGTGAGGGTAAGGTGCAAATATGGTACCTGTCTAGCAACTAGGTGAGGAGTTTCAAGGGGGTGGGAGGAACCTAGGCACGTGGAACCTGGGATGGAGAGAATCTGGCATATGCTGAATCAATTGATGAGAGAGCACCAGTCAACAGATGAGTGTACCCGGACCTCTCTGATGGGACAGCGGGTTAGGTCTCAGCACTATGAAGCTGCAGCCATTGCAGCTGAGTTTGACCCCCGACCAGGGAGGTGACCCACATGGTGCAGCAGACCTCTCCTGACCTGCCTGCTGCTCCCCTCAACAGTGTGTTTCAGTAGATCTGCCAGTTCTGCTCCCCACTCTGTCCCTGGTGAGTCCTCTCACTCCACCCCACACCTCTGGCCAACACCCCAGCTCTTGTATGCATAAATAAATAAAAATAAATCTTTTTTAAAAATAGATGGGTGGGCCTGTGCAGTCCAAACCTGTGTTGTTCAAAGGACAAGTGGATTCCTCCCCAATGATCTCCCACAGCTGCACTCTGACGTGGGCAAGATGGGGCCATCCTGTTTTTCCAGATGAACAATGAGGTCTAGGGGAAGTTAGGACTTAAATGGCCAATCCTCCACCCATCAGCCTCTGCCCTGCACCCAGTGTTCCTGGCACTCAGGGAGCCCACACTACCCTAAGTTCATTATATTGTGTGCATCAAAACACATTGTCCTGATTAGTCCTGAGACTTGAGACCATGGAAACATGATTTTTATATACATATACATGTATGTTTATAATTGATAGATATATGATTTATATAAGGTGAGTTCAAGGGCATATCACATGGGGATGTCAGTCAGGTTAGAATAAGCCTTCAAGTAGAGGGTGAGACATTGGGAGTCCGGCTGGGTCAGGAAATTGGAGGCAGTAAGCTAGACAGAGGAAATGGAATATCCTGGGTTCCGCTGTCCCTGAAGATTTGGGGAGGTACCATGAACTTGGGGTGAGGAGAAAACAGAAGGGAGGCCAAGGATTTGGGAAGTGCCACAACACCAGGCACCCGACTGGACACAGGAGTGTCCAGTAGCAGTGAGTCAGGAGTCGAAATCTTCCCAGAAGGGAAGGGGGCCAGTAGGTGGTGTGATCCATGACTGAGGGTGGTCAGCGCCGAGATGTCCAGGAGTGGCATCGTGAGCATCTCCAGAAGTTGGGTCAGAGGAAGGCAAGTGCCAGCAGGGGTCGCTGGGCCCTCAGAGAACCAAGAGACACTGGGGCAGGGCTGGGGCGCTGAATCGGGTGGGGGGCGGAGAGAGAGGAGCTGGCCCCAGAATCGGCATTCCCAGCACGTTCCCAGTGTAGGCTGGCTGCAACCGCAAAGTTAGCGCAGGAAGTGAAATGCCACTCGGCTGAAGTGGGGGTCGGGCATGTGGCTCACCGGGAAGTATCATAAGAGATGCAGTGTCGAACCCCACGCCAGAGCCAGGGGACAGGACAGCAGTGGGGGTGACCTAGGATGGCCTGCAGCAGCGAGCTCAGCTTGTTTATTGACATGACACATAAAGCATAAACCAAACCTCAGTAATAACTTTAAGAACCATGATGTGAATTGTAAAGAACTAGCACAAGGCTGCAGAGACAGGGTCGCATCCCTGCCAGATCCCGGGACGGGTTCTAGGAAAGGTGGGTCTGTGCGGGGAGAAAGCACCAGCTCTGGCCACCAGACGGCACCCAAGGACCGCGGTGGGCGGCAGGCGGAGGGGGCGCCAGAGGCCTGTTTGGGCAGTAGGGGGCGCACGAGGGACGCCGCCATGGCGCTGAGCTGTCCCCTCGGTGTGGCGTTAGGGACATTAGGGACGCAGCCTTCTGGGGAGGAGGTGCGCAGCCCCTAGATCCCTGGGGTCCGTCCTAGAAAGGAACCCAAAGGGGCTGGGGAAGCCGTTACCTCTGAGAACGTCTCCAAGGCCAGCGCTGCAGACAGGCCTGGTGGCAACAGAACTGACCAGTTAATCTGACAAAAAGATGAAGCTGACTCAGGTCACCCACTTCCTTTCTGACTCCTAGCCCAGAAGGCAGCCCTGACTGCAGCCACAGCGGGGGATCTGCCTCCCCCCACACTTCCTCCTACTCCCTCCTCTCCCCTTCTCCCGCCCCCCCTTTCTCTCTCCCCTCCCCCCTGTGCCCCCCCCCCACATAGACACACACCTGGTACCTCCGGGGGGGCCTAGGAGGGGCCTATGGAAAGCCCCCTGGCTACCCGCTGCTAGTGGGGCCCATGGGGGAGAGTTGGGGAGACCTCCACGACCCCTCCTCAGTCTTCCAGAAGATCCCAGCTTGCTCCACTTCTGCAACTTCTTTCAAACACTCCCTACCCCACCTCCCCCCTGGACTGCCAGAGATCTGGAGCTCTCCCTACCCTGCCCTACAAAGCCTTCCCCTACAAAGTCTTGCCCTACAAAGCCACACTTTTTCTGGGGAAGTCAGTCTTCTGGGGAAGGGAAGTTGTTTCAAATGAGTAGGGAGGGGCCCACCCTGCACCCCTTCCTGCCCCCCTCCCAGACCTAGCTCCAGTGAGCTCCCCAGGCATTCAGGGAGCTGGAGTGGGGAGCTAATAGGATGAGTTGTCACCTCACTGAGACCCTAACAGCCCTACTGGTAGGTGGCTCTGAAAATCCACCTATTACTGGCAGTTTGGGAGCCAGAATGAGCCAGCCTGAGCCTGGCTGGGGGTGCAGACAGGGCCCCTTTGGCCAACCAGGAACCTCTCTAACCAGCCACTAACCCAATGTGTGGGGTAGTGTTGCCACCAGGGGTGGGGCATCACTACCCCACACTTGTCTCAAGGAGAAGTGAGGTCACGGTGACTCATCTTCTGGGGGAAGGGCCCCTTCCTCACACCCCTAAGGGCTGCGGATGGAAGAACTCAGGCTGCCCAGTTCCTGTAAGGCCTCTCCTGGGCCCGCTTCCCTTCTGAGGAAGGAGAAACTTCCCTTCCTCCCTCAGCAGCTTGTTTAGCAGAGGAAAGGGCCTGTGCTCCTCTGGACTCCTCCCGGGCCCGGGACTGGCCCTGACCACACTTATCCCCATTTCTCAGATGGTGGTCAGGTCTCCCCCCGATCTGCCCCGGGCCCTTTGCTCTGCCATCGCCATTCTGTCCCAGGCCCCCACAAGCGTTTGGACCAGCCCCGAAGGGGCCACACAGCCACACCTCGCCCCAGGCCTGGTGCCAGCTCTGCGAAGAGGTTGTGGCAGCTGTGGGAGGCAGTACTGGGGCCCTGGGTCTCCACCCCCAAGTCAGGAGCTCCTGCTCACTGCGGGACAGGAAGGGTACTGCTACTACACAGTGGTGGTTCTTCTCGGACACCCACACACACACACGTACACTTGGTTTCCTTGTCCGGAGCACGGACCAGCGCCATCCAGTGACATGTGGTCACCACCTCCACCCACCTGGCACATAGGGGTGCTGAGACTGGGGGCACCCCCAAGTATAGATTTAGCTGCCTGCCTTCCCACTACCCTAGGCCCTGTCTAGAAAACTTCTGGGTGTTCTGGAAACCACACTTGCTGACTCAAGGCTGTCTAAGGCAAGAGGTCAGACCCCAATCAGTCACCCCCAGACCAGGGCAAACACCCTGGGTTAGAGAAGCACCCCCCGCCCCCCACCCCAGCCAGCTGGGGGATGTTGTGTGAACATGTGTCTGGGAGGAATGGGGGCCAGCATTCTGTCCTCAGCAGGTGGGGGGGACACACTTCTCAAAGCCTGCCTGCCTTCCTGATGTGTTGATAAGGATGAGCTTGCAACAGAGTGGGGGGAGGACAGGGATGTGTGACGGTCACAGGGAACCAGGAGCTCAGGCCACAGAGCAAGACCTGCGGGGGGCAGGGAGGTGTCTCATTTGGAGGAAGAGGAAGTGAAGGCTGCCCCAGCTGCCAGGAGCAGGGTGAGGAGGGAATTCCCCAGATGGAGGCTAGTGCAGGCCTCCCTCTTCCCCCCCCACCTCCACCCTCAAAGACTGCATTTCAAGAAGGGCAAACGAAGCTACTTTCTGAAGGAAAATCCTGGCCCCGGCCTCTGGGATCTGTCCAGGTGAGGGCTCGGGACCCAAGGGGAGGCCAGGAAGGCTGGAATCCAAGGCCTGCATGTCCTCTAAGGATGCACATTTTACCACCCTACCAGCCCAGCTGCCTAGGCTTGGGGATCACCCACAATGAACCTCAGTCTCCCCATCTGCCAAAGGGGACACGGTTGTGACCTTTCAGGGTTTGTGATGGGAACGAAGCCAGGAAGAGAAGTTTCAGGCCAGGTCCAAGAGAGATGGACACCCAGGCAGTTGTTTCAGGTCAGGCAGGGGTACCATGGTCTGGGGGCTGCTCCCTGGGTCGGAACTGGGGATCTAGCAGCCCCCTGACTACATCGGAGGAACCCTGGGTTGACCACCCCTTTCAGGCACCTGCCTGCAAGATCCCAAGTTTTTTCCCATAATGGCTGGTTCAGAGGGCTCTGTACCACCTCCCGCCTCAGCAGGGCAGACAGGCCTGAGCTCCCATCCAGCTGGAGACACTTTGTTGGATCGGCAGCCCAGGCCTAGCTTCCAATTGAGACCAGAGCCCCCAGGTTGCCCCAAAGCACCTTTATTCACAGCAAAGGATGTCACCATAGCAACCACACTTCAATTCCCTGAGAACTTTTCCCTTATCGTTTGCTTCCCCAGCTAAGTCTTTGCAGAAAGAAAAACAGAAGACACAACACAGCTTGGAGGCCAGGTGAGCAAACTGGGCCCCAGGAGAAGAAATATGCAAGAGGAGGGCAGGGAGAATCCAGATGTTGGGACACATAAATACATAAAGTGTCAGACATTTCCATCAACTTTAAAAACAAAGATTACCCCAAGTTTGGCTTCTGCTTTTTCTGATCCACAGAAAAGATAAAATAACACCCTCCCCTACCCCCAAAAGACAAATACACCCTACTTTTTACCCACCCTCTTTAGAAAAACAAGCACAGTAAAAAAATACTGTCACAATATTTACAGACACACCCACTATGGGTGACTTTCTCTCTACTTTGGAGAGGAGATAAATGCTTAGCTCTGACTCCCCAATACGAGGAGACAAAGGGAAGACACCCCCACTACCCAGGAGGGCAGGGAAGGAAGTCACTCTTCCCCTAGCCACATGGCCACTGGAGACTTGGTGGGGCCCCTGTGCCCAGACAGTGAGTGGCTGCTATTCCTCGGAGCCACAGAGTGCCCGGGCTATAGCTCAGGGGAGGAGGGGACCCAGGCCACTCACCCCAGAACCCATTTTTCTTGTTCTGAGCATGGCCCAGCTATTCTAGGGGTTCTAGGGCAAGAGTCAGGATCTTAGGGTGCAGGGGCCCCAGCACAGGGCCTGCATGCAGCAGGAATATAAAGACACCTGTACATCCTACGGAGCATCCCAAAGACCTCAGAACAGTAACAGTAAAACTGTCCTCAGAACGACCTCTGATGTACAGAGGTCTGCACATGGGCTGTGGAGCCCGCAGACCTGAAGAGCTGGGAAAGGCAGACAAGTGGCACTTGTGACTGCTCCTCCCCAGCAGAGCAGAACTGCCCAGCAGCCTGCTACACAAAGGGGACACTATAAACACGTGCGTGGCACAGCCCTGGGGGAGCCTCGAATGCCAAGGCCAGGGCAGCACAACAGGGTCCCTGGGCCCTTTGGATACCAGGGGCGCCCAGGGACAGGGTCTCAGCTGCAGCTCCTAGAAGATGGCAGTTCGGGGACACCAGGGTGTGTCCGGGTACAGGTGGCAGTGAATGGAGCGGAACCTGTGGGGACAAAGTGGAGGATGAGTCCGTGTGGGTAGGAGTGCTAGCACCCACAGCACTGGTAGAGGGGCCTGCTCCACGCTGGGCACTCTGGTCATGCTGTTTAGTGTGACTGCCAGCTCCCCAGGGTCCCTTCCATAGGACCCCCATCCGGCCCTCAGCTGCTTTACCTGGATGGGTCAGCCTCCACCGAGAAGGGTCCCTTCATGTGGATAGCATTCCGCTTGTTTTCAAACATGCCATAGCTCAGGGTCACCTGTAAGGAGAGGGCAGAGTGGTGCTGGGAGGGGCCCCAATGCACCCCCCAACTGTGTCCAAGATTGCCTATGTGGCTCTTGGACACAGAGCTACCTTGCTTTCGCCCTCCCTGGGAACAAAGAGGAAGGTCTAATGGTCCCCACTGCCCTCACACCCCTCCAGTGCTGCACCTCCCAGGAATGAAGTCCTAGTGGGAGATTCAGCTGGGGCCAGTGAAAGAATCGCCTGCTATGGGCAAGAGAGTGTCTACTGGTCAAAAAGCACAGGGCAGGTGTGTCACAATGAAGCTAGGACAGGAAGGGTGGGGAGGGGGTCGTGGGCATCTGGGTGGCAGCCAACAGGAAAGGGCTTCCTTCCTAACATCCAGATTTAAATGTGACCCCTCCTCCCACCCCACTTGGTTCTGTGCCTTCCTGTGCCCGCTGGAGTCCCTGCAGGGAGCCACACCTGTTCCCGGAGCTCAGAGGTAGGCACCTGCTGCAGGTTCTCCAGGTGCGAGTGAAAGAGACCGCTCCGGATGAGAGGCACACCCAGCAGGGCCTCCACGATGTAGCCGATGGTGCAGTCGTCCGGCAGCCGGATCCGCTCAGCTGTGCTCATGAAGTGACCGCCGCTGCGGAGGGGAAGGGCCGACAGTGAGCAGAGGCAGGAGCCCTCCAGGCAGAGCATGGCACAGAGTGAGGAGGCCAACATACTCGTGGAGTGGGTGCAGACCACATCTGTGTCCCGATGGGGCTCACCCAGCAGCTCCCTCCCTGAGCCCCCACAGGCACCCTCCTTCATACCAGCCAGGTGATTGTCTGCCAGTCGGGGATTCTGAGTGCAGGTAGGGATCCTGCCAACGGTACCTGGACCTGGGAGCTAACCCTCGCTGGTGCCTGGTAGGCAGGACGCAGGCAGTCATGGGACCACAACTCAACCCTCCCTCAACTGTGCACGTGAGGGTGAGGACACCTGCCTTGGGAAAGTGACCAAACCAGGCCCCACAACAGAGGGAATGAGGAGGGCCGGACCTAGCGGCAGCCTGCCTCCCCCGTTCCTCAGAGCACTCACCTGGCCCAGGGACTCATCTTCAGGGCCAGTCCACGGCTGATACAGAAGCCAGCTCCGCCAGTGGCAAACCAGAAGTGGACAGGGCGCTGTAAGATGGGAAAGTGGCATGAGACTTCCAGACACGACCCACCCACCGGAGCAGGACGCCTTCAGCCTCCTCCCCACCCTGCGCCTACGGCTGGAACTCACCATCTTGTTCTCGCTGACCCGCTCAGTGGCCTGGATGGGTCTGTCCAGGCTGGGCTTGCCTATGTACACGTCCTGGGTGTGCGGGAAGCTGGCCAGCAGTCGCAGGAGAGCCCGCACGTTGACGTAGTTATCATCGTCCACATGGCAGAACCACCTGGGAGCGAGGTGGGCATCAGGGAGGGCAGGCAAGGAGTAGGTATTACCAAGGTCTGAGGCTGGACGGAAGGGGACCCTGAGGGAGGCCAACACTCACTTCCTCCCTGACTCGATGAAGCGGTCGTATTCCACAGCCATCTTGCAGGACAGAGCCTGGCGGCTGTGGGCAGCTGAGCAGTTAGTATTGACCACGTTGCCTGTGGATAAGAGAAGTGGGCAGGAACTCAGTGGACAGAGAGGTTCAGAGAGGGTACAATGGCATGGGCTCACGCAGCAGTGCCAAGGAAAGCAGCCAGATAATGCGGATGGCTTTCTGTCCCAGGGCACTTTGGGTCCATGCAGGGTCCCTGAGAAGCTTTCTCAGCCCCTCAACTCCCTCCCAGTGCAGGACACAAGGTCTGGTGATTATCCACCCCCAGCCCAAACCCCTCCCAGGGCGGCCAGCCCGCCCTGGCCCATTCAGGCAGCTTTTTCCCAGCACCAGCCACCTGTTGCAGTCACATCAGCTCAAAGGGCCCGGGAGAGCTGAAAGGGCCTCATTAGCATGAGAATTGGGGGGGGGCGAGTGGTGGGGCGGGGCATTGAGCAAACCAGTTGAGTAAACTGCCCTCCTAGGCCAGTGACCTCCTGACCCTCAGGAGGGGAGGTTGGGAGGGGAGGAGTTCCTCCCAGGAATGGAGCCCCTCACTCCCAAAATCCAGGGCTCACCCGTGTGCCTGGCCAGGGCTTCATCTTCCCCGTCGGTGAAAATGAACGTCTGGAAGGAGAAACATGGCCTTGAACAGGCAGCTCTATGTCCCCCACCCCAGGCCACTGCAGGGGTCCAGGGCCGGGCACCCTGGAGTTCCAGGAGCCTCAGCACAGTCATGCTCAGTCCCTACCCTTTCCTGTACCTCACCTTCCCCATGTGCAGCGTTGGCCTCAGATGCCCAGCCTCAGTGGAAGCTGGGCTGGGGCTCAAGCAGACCCCACCCCCCACCTAGACAGCTGGGCCCAAGGTCGCCCGCCGGCAGTGCCGGCACGAGCCAGGTGGGGCGCCCCGCCCACCCGCCAGGTAACCGGCTCCCGGCCCGCCCAGCGCACCTGGCAGAGCACACACCCTTATTGACACAGCGCCGGCCTGCGGGAGGGGGCAGAGGCCGGTGGGGGGACAGACAGAGGAGGTCGGCTTTGGGAAGCCAAGTCTCAATCAGTTGGGGACAAAGGCCTCTGCTGGGCGGCTGCCAAACCCTGGCGGACAAAGAGCCCGGAGGGAGGATGAATCACCAGGCATTGTCCGCCAGCTTTGTCCTGGGCCGCAAGGCGAGGGGCACAGGGCTGGCCTTAACTCGGCCGCGTTAAGCAGGAATAGCCGAGCTGCCCATTACCATACAGCTGGCCTGGTTAACTGGGCCGGGCTGGGTGCGAGGTCCGGTGAGCAGGGGTGCAGCCACAGCCCCCCAGTCCTTAGCACCGGCCCATCAAGTCGGGCCCCTGCGCTCCCAGCTGTGTGGCCAGCTGGGCAGATCACCTCCTCCGAGCCAAACAGCCACCACTGCTAGTCTAAGAAGCTACCGACCACCAGAGCTGAGACAGGAAACTGCATATGCCCCAGCCCACGGAGCGGAGCGTGCCCCTGCAGCCCCTCCCGCCTCCCGCTGCTGGGGAGAGGAAACCCGGGCTAGCAGACAGGCCTTGCCCAAGGCCACATCAAGGCTCCACCTGTGCCAGCACAGAGCTACACTGCCAGGATCGCTTTGGAAGACGGGGCCAATGGGGCGGGGCCAGGCGCTGCCGGCGCCCGCCTGGGCCAGTCGGCACATGGGAAGGAATGTTCCTTCCTCTGCCCGGCCCTCCCAGCGCGTGTCGCCTGGCACACCCTGGCATGACTGAGTGCAAAACCTGGGGCCCAGTGGGGAGTGCCATGAGCAAAGACAGCAGCAGACCTCCAATTGCATGCCCATCAGGAATGTTGCTTTCAGTGTACGGTACGAATAGGTCCAAGGAAGGATCCAGCATTTGCAAACCGGAAGAAGTACATCCCCAAGAACCTGGAGATCCACCTGGATGACTACCCCCACCTGAGCAGCCCCTGCTGGTTGTTTAGCTGAGCCCAAACCCAGGCACACACAGTGGGTCCACATCTGAGGAACAAGAGCTCAGAGATGGAGTGGGGGGAGGAGAGGGCGGGCTCCATCTTCACCTTCTCTGCTGGTGCACCCCCTCCTTCCACAGCCCAGCAGACACCCGAGGGCGCCCGCACGCACAGACTCGCACCCAGCCCCCCGCCCGCTCCCCAGCATCTCAGCCCAGGAATGCCGTGGGAGGCTGAGGCCAGCCCGTGCAGACGTGCAGTTGCCGCCGCTGGATTAAAAAGAAAATGCTTTCTTAATGAGATCAAGCGAGGCCTGTTCTCCCGCGCTTTGGTGGTGCCCTAAAAACCCAGCCTGAGGCTATAGAGATTAAAGTCACCTTTGTACCGCTGGGGGAAAGCAAGACACTCTCTGCAGAGGAGTGCTGGGGAGGATGAGGTTGAGGGGGGTGCTGGGCCTCCCCACAACAGAGGGGAGGAGGGGAAGGGGCCACCCAGACAGGGATCTCACCCACTGCCCTGAGCCTCGGTTTCCCCCTCTGTACAACAAGTATAAAAAGAGCTGCAGAGTACCCAGAGCAAAGCCCCAATCCTGTCCTTTCATCTAGCAGTCAGTCCCAGCAGTTGGGCACCGCTTGGCTACTACACAAGCGTAGAAGAGGGTGAGGTTCAAACAGTTGTATGGACCCAGCCTGTGGCCATACCCAGGGCCAGAGATGGGCTTAGTCCAGCCCAGCTGCCCCTCCCAGGGGCTAAGACCCTTCTCCAGAACCCCTCCCCTGAGGACTTGAAGCACAGGGCAGCAAGGGTGGCAGGGCTGGCCCAGGGCAGGGGGGACACCCACAGGAAGCGGTATTGTTCCTGGAGCTGCAATTCAAAGAAACACAGGATGCCAAGCTCTCCCCAACAATTGTGGCTGCAGCACTGGCAGTCGCTACAGTCTAACACACTCCTGGACAGGGTGGGGGAGGAACATGGGGGGCAAAGGGTCAGCCCTTCATCTGGGACTTGAAGGTCCATCACACTGTGGCCTCTGCTGACTCCCCCCTCTCCTGCTACTGGAAGTTTCTCGTACAATCCCCGTGTTCATGATGCCCAAGCTGCCCTTTCCTACCCTCAGTTCAGTGTGAATGGCACCTCCTCCAGGAAGTCCTCCCTCCCCCTTCCTGTGGGTTAGATGCCCATTCTCAGTTCGTGCAGCCTCTCTGGGGTTCCCCCACCACAACCCTAAATATCCCCCATCAGATTGGGTCTGAATCACCCTGAACAGGGTTAGGAAAGGAGGAACACTGCTGCCAGTTTTCAAGAGCCCCTGCTCCACAATATGCCATGACACAAGAACCGCTGCTGAGGACAGGTTCGACCTTGCTGTGTGGGGTCAACAGGTGAGACGGAACACTGACTGGCCTTCATGGTCAAGGTCCAGAGCAGTGATGGCCCACACTTTGAGTGCCCTTTGGGCTCCTTTTCAATGCCTGCAGGTTTTGCCAGTACTCTTTCTTTTCACAACACTCTCAGAAGGGTAAAGTTACCCCCATTTCAGAGATAAAGAGACTGAGGTCCAGAGAAGTCCTAGGTGTCACCCACGATCACCAACTTGGTTGAAATACACATCGAGACCTCAGCTGGGGAAAGCCCCCTACGTCCAAGATGAGACACCTTCAGCCCTAGAGGGCTGAATGCTGCCCAAAGTCACACAGTAGGGAGGCAGGAAGGAGGGGGAGGGGAAGGTGCCTGGCTCAGGGACGGTGCCCTTCAAGGGCTGTCAGTCAGGGATGGGGGGGCCCCGGAGGCCCCCTCATCGCCAGGCAACCTGAGTGGCCAGGGCCCAGCGGCGGTTCCCATGGAGCGCATAGCTGCACACAAGAGGCCGGACGCTTTTCTCCGCTGGAGAAAGGGGCTTTGTTACCTTGCCCAAGGGGCCAGCGTGAGAGCCGCCCGGCGCTGGGAATCCTAACGGCCAGCCGCCAAACAAAACCCTGGGCTGCCACTGCCCCCTCCCGCTGAGCCCTTGGGAAAGGGACTCTACGTTCCCAGGAGGCTACCATGAGGTTCCCAGGCACCCCACCCCACTCTGGTCCCAGTTAGGACTCAGTCTCCCTACTCCCATCATGACCTCACTGGGGTCCTGCCCCAGAACAGGGCTACAAGGTCCCCATCTCTAGGATTCAAACAGGGAGGAAGAGGTGTGGAATATTCTCTAAGCCACACACACACACACTTAACCCCAGTTGAGATTCTTCGCTCTTCCCCCAAATGCCCAATTTATCCCTTGAATCTCCCAGAAATGGTCCCCACCGCACCTCCCCCTGCAGGTCCCACATAGCCCCTGTCAGTCCCGCCCCGACCCAACCGTCCTACTGCAGCCTCAAGGGAGATTTTCAAAGTGGGGTGTGTCTTTATTATGTGTGTGTAGGAAGTCGATGCTCCACTAGGGTGTATTAAGCAGCAGGTTCAAGTCCCAGGGGGCTCCTGCACTGTAGGGAGAGGAGTCTCTGCACAGATCAGGAAACCTCCTGCTCCCTTCTTTTGAGATGTATTCCCAGGGCCCACCAACATCTAGCCAGCCCCAGTTCCAGATTTCAATCAGTAATGACTTGCCACCCCATCTCAAGGCAAAGACTGGGATGGAGAGGAGACAAGCTCTGTGCACCAGAGATCCCAACTCCCCGTTTACCCCCTAAGGAAAGAGTTCTGTCTGGAGGACATTTGGAGGCAATAACACCCGATTAATATGCCTCAATGACTGGGGACAAGTAGCATCACAGGGCATCAACCCAAAGCACTAGAAGCTCGGCGTGCCATTCTAGGCTCTAAAAGTGGGCTGAGGACCGTCCCCACTGACAGTTCGACTCTAAGAGGAAAGTGGCCCTCCCAGGCAAACTGGGCTGAAAGGGGATGTTTAGAGTCACTACCCCAGATACCCCCCGTGACTTAATAGAAGAGCAGCCCACGGGATACTGCCACCAGATGAACAGGACTATTACCCCCACCTCGCCCGTCCAGGTCGCGGGCGCTCACCATGTCCTTGTGGCGCGAGATCCAGGTCTCAAGCAGCAGGTCGAGGCGTGCGCGGTGAAACTTTTTGGTGGTCTTGACGGCAATGAACACGTCGTGGGGCACTAGCTGCTCGGCTGGGGGCCGCAGGTGGCCATCGGAGGGGCGGGGGGCGCCCCCGGGCGGTGGGCCCGCATCTCTACGTGCACGGGTCAGCAGGCTGAAGTACTCCGACAGACTGTGCACCTCGCGGGCCAATGCTCCGGGCGCTGCCGCAACCTCCAGCCCTGACGCCAGGGCCGCCCCCGCAGGGC